CCACAACAGACACCCTGCGAGGTGGGTGGGGCTGAGAGAGCTCTGACAGAAACTGCTCTTTTTCAAGGACAGCTCTTATCAGAACTACGGCTTGCCCAAGGTCATCCAGCCAGGTGCAAGTGGAGGAGTGGGGAATCAAACCCGGTTCTCCCAGATTAGAGTCTGCGCACTTAACCACTACACCACACCGAGACCTTAGATTTACTCTAATTTAGCTGTATGAGAACCATTTAGAGTACAGCACTTGGCAGAGGGATCACTAGGCTGAAAAAAGGAGCAGTGCTTCAAATACACATTTATGCACATGCGCTGACAGTGAATTTAAAAAAAATTCTGCCCAGCACTTTGAATAAGTGTTTATGTGCATGCACGAGCGATGAGGTAAAAAAAACAACACTGCCCATCCACTGAATCCATGGTTACCGTGCAGCAATGATCTGGACAAATGTCCATGGGGTGAGCACACAGCGCAGTTCATGAATGGTGGGATGTCTGATCAAATCCCTGCAGAACAAATAAGCCTACATAAATTTAGAGGTGAGCCCACAACACAATAAGAAGAAGAAGAAAAAGAAGAGTTTGGATTTATACCCTGCCCTTCACTACCCAAAGGAGTGTCAGAGCGGCTTACAAACTCCTTTTCCTTCCCCTCCCCACAACAGACACCCTGTGAGGTAGGTGGGGCTGAGAGAGCTGTAACAGAAATGGCTTTTTTTCAAGAACAGCTCTGACAGAACTATGGCTTGCCCAAGGTCAACCAGCAGGTGCAAGTGGAGGAGTGGGGAATCAAACCTGGTTCTCCCAGATTAGAGTCTGCGCACTTAACCACTACACCAGACTGGCTCCAAGCATGCCGTCTGACCACAGCCTCAGTGCAAGGATCCCTGAGTGCCTTTGCTTCTTAATACTGTGCGGGACCAGATTGGTGAGGAATAAAAATGTACTCCTTGCTTGGTTTCTGGAGGAAGAGAAAATGGATTTGGTTTGCATGACTGAGAAGTGGTTGGAAGAAGATTAGGGGATGTATTTGATAATTTAATTTTAATAGTTTTAATTTTAATCATAACGTTAGTGCCACCTGGATATGCAGTCCCTTCATCATACCTGTGTGGTGGGCTGACTCTCACAGTCCGTGAGTTTCCCCCCTTTCAGATTCCCAGTGAAAACTACTGCTGGCATTGATTGCCTGTTCCTTACATTAAGTTTCAGGGACAGATTGGTCATTTTACTTATTTACCTGCCACTTAGTTCCCCTGAGCTGGCTCAGGTGGTCTCAGACAAGGAGGGAGCCATCTTAAAAAGCCTCCCCTCTCCTTCCCCAGCCCGCCTGCCAAGGCGGGCTGGGGGGGGGAAGAAGCGAAGAGAGAAGGGGTCTAACGTTTAAAACCCCTTCTCTCTTTCCATTATATTCTATGGGCCATAGAATACAATGGAAACATATTTAAACTTTAAACCCCTTCTCTCTTTCCATTATATTCTATAGGGCCATAGACTATAATGGAAAGAGAGACGAGGTTTTAACCAAGGTGTGTGTGGGGGGGAGCGAAGACAAGGGCTTTAAAGTTTAAAGATCTTTCCATTGTATTCTATGGCCCATAGAATATAATGGAAAGAGAACCCTTAAGGGGTTTAAAGTTTAAACCCCTTCTCTCTGGAGTCGTGCTGTGGCGGCGGCACGATCGTTCCATTATATTCTATGGGGCGCAACTCCAGAGAGATGGCGAGCAGCGAGGGCTGGGCTTGCCGCCACTGCCATTTCTGCCTGCTCCTGGGCTGCTGGAGCGGTGCTCCGGCGCACTCCGGGCCCAATGGACCCCTGGTCTCAGGCTTGGTACATCTAGATTGATTATTCTGAGTGATGTCAACACACCAGTGGCACCTCACCTGTTCCACTGCAGGATTTCATGGCTGCTATGGCCTCTGTTAATCTCTGTTAATGCAAGGTTGTGCCTGGCTCCTGCATAACAAAGGTCATGACTTACGCTTAATTATTTTTGTACTGAGTCTTTGGGAGATCATCTGGTATGGGTGCTGGAACCACAGTCTGACCACTGCCTCCTCAAGACACTAGTGAATGCAGCACCCTCACGCTGCAAAGGTGGGAGCCAGTTAAAACGGTCAGCCCTTGGAGGCTTACAGATTCCAAAATACCCTGGGATTCCAAATGATAGCTATATGGAAAGCATGGAGGAAGCTTAGAACAGGAAACTCCTGGAAGCTGCTGACGTGGCTGCCCTTTATCGACCTCTCCCACCCTCGAGGAGGAATCTGGAACCTTGGTTCTAGACATATCCCAGGGGGAACAGAATTCCTGGAACAGTCCACCCCTTGCCTTCTCTCCGTTTCCCCTTAATTTTACCCATTTGCTCCACATGGTTTTCAGCAATTGTTGGGGGGAAATTCTGTTTCAGGAACTAGGAGAGGTTCTTTTAGCTGGTAAGCAAAGCCTCTCCTTGGATTTGGCAGAAGAGACATTGTTTACATCCATTCAAATGGAAACACCAAATTGGGAAACTGGTCATCAAGACAGCCTGTTCTAGTAGCAAGGCTGGCAAGCTCACGTCAAGTATCCAGTACATCCATCACATGCCCAGGCCTGTGTGCACATTTCCTACCCTCTGACAGGCATCCAGAAGTTGCTCCATGCCAGCCTTTCCAGTCTGTGCCTATGAAGCAAGGGGCTGGAGGCCAGCAGCAGCATTCTAGCCCTGTTGGCATTTAGACTACTCTTACTTACTCCAGAGGGAGATGAAACATCTTTGCAACCTGGGTGAGACTCTGGAGCAAAATCGAGGTCTTTGCTGCCTGTGCCCTCTCTTACAAATCACTCTGGCACTTTGTAACTATTTCATTCATGCCATCTGTTTCTCAGGCCAGGCCCACGTGCAGCTGGTGACCTTCACTGTCCAGAAAATACATCTGTTCCCTACCTCTCCCCATTCCTTTTCATGTGCTGGCCCAAAGGCTGGCTGTGACAGAGTCTTCATTATGCATGTGGGCAGGGAGTGACCATGACTTAGCAACTGAAAACCCAAGGCAAATAAAATACTGTTGCCAAGTGCGGTGGACTGACTTCAGCTAATATTGCCTCCAGGCAAAAACAAACAACTAACTTTTTGGCTGTAGTCACAAGTGTTATCTAGAGGGACGCTAAATGATCCCCAATCCAACTCATTCTGCTACTCACTGAGATCAAAGTAAGGGGCTCTCTGACTCAAAGTGGCAATCTGTACTGTGCTTTCTAATAAATCAAACCCATGCCCTTCTTGTAAGGGAGCTTTCACACATTACATTAAAAAGCACCCTTTGAGCCTCTTATTGTGTCAATGTTACAGGAAAAAAAAAAAGATGTGATAGTGAGTACAAATAAAATACTTATCCCTCTTAAGTGCCCCCTATCCATGCACTTGCAAGGTGAGACAGCCCTTCTGCATACAGAATCGGCATGTCAGTGGCTGGTGGTTCAGTGGGGTACATCACTGTTGTGCTAACTCTACATGCAGATCCCCAGTGACTCATGAGGAACAGTTTCTGATTTAGCCTTTGCTAATGTGGTATCTAAATCAAGAGAGGGGACAACCCATTTTTTGGTCGGTTGTGGGTTTCTATTCATGTTACAAACCATTTCAAACAGAAGCCTCAGAAGTGAAAAAGTCCTGTGAAGGCAACACGGCATCAAATCACAGTTCACCTAACAGTGTTGTTCCAGCTCTAATGCAGTCTTATGTATGATTTTTGGCAGTTTACAAGCAAAACTGTGTATGGTAAGAGATAGTGTTTTGTTCAGTTCTTTGTCCAAAGTTTGTACCAAAGGATTGTACCATAAAGAGTCTTTGTACAGTAAGCCATTCACCCAAAGTCATCCATGCCCAGCATCTGACCGACCAGGGATCACGGAGATCTGGGGCAAGAGGCCACCAATCCCACCAAGTCCTTGTTGAATAGCCACTGATGGACCTACTATCTTAGAATGCTTTTAATCCTTTCTGTGCTACCAGAGCTTATATCGTACTATACCAAAGAGTTCCGCCAAGTCAATACAAATTGCGTAGAAGTGATCAAACCCTGCATTATATGCTGAACCTCAGCTGTGGGATACCCTATTGCTTACACTCATTTAGACTATGTCAGGATCTTTCCTTACCCATTTTTACACTTAAAAAATGCACAAGTGCATTTTTAGCCTATGTTTCTCTGCTTATCTTGGAGTTTCTCTTTAACAAAGACCTTGTTGGGGGTTGGGGGTACTCGACTCCCACTAGAGACACAGCCGAGGCATTGGGGAGGCAGCCGGTTGCCTCACTAGGTGGCAGTGTTCCGGCCATGGCAAGAACACCAGTGACTACTCAGGCAGGGGCCAACAACACAGACATGGTCCAGGGATCAGGAGGTCAATTATTGGGTTAAAATAGTGAACTATGAAGCAGGAGTCACCAACCAATCAGTTCTCCAGCTCTTGTGGGAAGGCTCACCCTCTTGTGAGAGCTGGGGACTGTGGGTAGACCTGCCTCCTCTTTACCCTGGGCTTTAAAAGTCAGGGAGGAGGCAATGAAGACAGACCAGTCTGGGTTTCAGGTAGCAGAGGAGCCAGGTGGGGGAAAGGAGGAGGATTGGGATGAATCCCATCCCCTTTCTAACAGCTGATGATGCTTTTCATACAATCTCAAAGATGCACTTCACAAATGAATGATGGTTCAGAGACAGAGCTTTAGCAGACAATCCAGACACTGCTAGTGGAAGTGCACCACCTTCATCCTTACAGAGTGATAACAAGCCATTTTCTGCTATATCAAAGTGGCAGCAGGACTACAGACATAGCCAGCAAATTTCAAGGGGATGCTTGTGTTGTATACAATCCAGAGAAACAGGGAATCCTAGTCATATCCCTATAATAGACAGGAAATACTTGTTTTCAAATGAGCTGAAATAGTTTTGGTGGCATACAAGTGTGCCTGTACCTGAAAGCCAGGTTATGTGCAATGGGAGAGGTGGTCACTTACCCTCCAAGCTGTCTTCATGACGTATGTTGAAGTTTTCATATGAGTCCCAGCGGATGAGTGGATCTGAGGTGTTGTAGTCTACAGAAACACTGGGGCCATTCTCAAGATGTTCCATGCCTTTGAAGCAAAGACAGAAGGCTTTTCAGTAACAAACCTGCCTCCATTGAAGGAAGAAATACGTAACAAGAAAAGAAATGGATGGGGGGGGGAAAACGTAAAAGGAAACAAAGAAGAAATAAAAGAGCAGTAGGACCATTGGGATACAGATGATGAGATTCAGGATGAAGAATCCAGAAATTTGTCAGATAATAACAACTCATGCTAGAACAAACCCAAGCCTGAGTCAGGTCACAGCCAGGGAATCTACCCAAGGAAGCAGGAACTAGGGAGGCAGGAGCAACACAAGACTAGCAGTCCAGGTAGGATTGAAATCTCCACAAAACAGTGCCTCCCAATTCCAGCCTGGAAAGACAGTCCAGAAGGATACCATGTTTGATGGTATCTGTGAAGAAATGCATTTTTCCTGAGAGGCTGGTAATAAGCCAAATCTCCACTGTGAGTTTTAAAAGTTCTCTCTCTCTCTCTCCTCTGTCCCTCCCCCCCCCCTTCATACAAATGCTAATGGAGCTAGCAGGAGAGATAATGGGTGGGTAAAGTCCCCCCCCCTTCTCCAAGCAAGGAACACAGATTAGGAAGAATGAAATACTAGAGGGATTCCAAGAAGGAAATGTCCTGGAGATCTCCAGGAAAAGCCTCTTTGACCTGGCGTGACCTTGTCAGTGGGTGGAGAAACAGATATGATAAAAACTCCTTGCAGCAGGAAGGAGGTCTCTTTTTCCTTGTGTGCTGAGTCTATGAGGGCACACAGAACTCTCCACTGGGAAGGCAGTCATTGACCATGTGTTAGCCTAAAGAATTGGAACAAGCTTCAAGGTGAGGACAGCTCTGTAGATTACAAATCTCTACAACTCCTAAGCTAAAAAGCCTGTTATAATATCTTAACAACTGATAGGGCATGTACAGAGAAAGGGACAGAGGATTTGCATTTTATCAATTTCTTTTGGGTCCCTTGCTCAATCTGGTGCTTTGCTAAAAGTATGCTTGTGCACATTTTCTTTTTAATAGATACTTTATAACCTTTGATGCTGGCAGTGGTTCTCTGTACCGCATAGACCTACACCATCTCAGACACGCTATTTTAAAAAGGGGTGCCAGGGGGAAGGCAGAAAATTGGCAAGCAGCTATTCTTCCAAGGGCGCACAAGGCAGTAAACTGTCCCAGTGGTGACCAGGTGCTAGGCAGTGAGAGACACAGAGGCAAGGCTTCAGAACTTGGAATGGAAGCTGGGAGTCCTGACCTTCCCAGTGGACAGTTCCTTACAAAGGTCAGGTGGTGGCAGCAGGCTACCTGAGAGTGAAAGGAAAGCTGGGCAAACCTTGGAAGGCAAGATGGAACAGGGCCTACAGGCCAGAGTGAACCCATTCTAGCACAGTATGAAAAGCTGCTGAGAGGGAGGGAGCGGGCTGTGGCGCAGCAGCAATGGTCAGCTCCGGGACGAGCTCCCATGAAGCAGCCATATCGCTGAGTCTACAGCGGAGTTCCGGGAGATCCTGGGCTCCATTGGGTCTCCTTGAAGGGGAGCCCAAGCAGGGCTTGATCCTGGCCCTATACTTGCGGCAGCAAGTGGGCAAGGGTCCAGGATTGCCCTAACAGCAAGACTCGATCGAGCACACTCATGGCAGCCATGAGTGTGAAGATTTGTACAACCTGACGGAGGGGAAGAAAAGAGAACCTCATCCATAATATTGATGATGAACACCACAATGAGTACAGTCAAGCAACAATATTAAGGACTCTATCAATTTTTCAAGCAAGCCCCTTTAAATTTTAAAAAGACAAGGAAAGGAGGGGTGAAAAGCTCCCCCCCCCCGTCCTTCCCTCTTCAGCCGGCTAGGAAAGGAACTTAGTGGAAAAACTGTCTTTAACCTTTTCCCAGGGCAAAGAAGAAAAGAAGAGGCTGTTGTCTGAGTTTATAAAAATACTTTTGGAATATAAATTTTTAAGTACATTTATTTGTTTGATTTTAAACAGCACTGAAGCAGGAATACATCTGTATTTTTTGGACGATAACCAAACTATCTGGAACTATACGAAGACTCTTTAAAAGACTACAAATAATCAATCCAAATACGGAATAAATAATTACATCTCATTGAAAGGATTATAAATTGCCCCCCTCTTAAAAGAAAGGAAAAAAGGAAAAATTGAACTGTATTTTGAACCTGTTTTCCTCTTTTCACTTCCTTACAACATAATTTCCTTTATTTGTTGAAACTATTTTTTTATTTATTTATTTGTTAAATTTATATCCCGCCCTCCCCCGTAGGGCTCAGGGCGGCTTACATGGCAAAAACTTGCTCATAAAAACATCAGATACTATAGTACAATTTAAAAACATAGTATACAATTTAAAAACCCAATCAGACAATAAAGTGCTCAGACTACACAGTGTCCATACTAAGATATCAGAGAGGACAAACCACATACCAAACATCCCTTGGTAGGCATAGCGTAAAAGATGTTAAACAGATGTTCCACAGATGTTCCTCCTAGCCTCCTAGGGCCCTCACCCCCCCCATTGATGATATATAGCGGGGGGGGGGGGCGGCGGCCCCTAATCGAAAGCCTGGTGGAAGAGCTCCGTCTTACAGGCCCTGCGGAATTGCACCAGATCCCGCAGGGCCCGGATCTCCTCCGGGAGCTCATTCCACCAGGCAGGGGCCGCCACTGAGAAAGCCCTAGCCCTCGTGACGACCAGCTTAGCCTCCTTGGGGCCTGGTATAGTTAGAAGATTTTGGGCCCCCGACCGTAGCGCTCTTGGGGGAACATACGGGGAAAGGCGGTCCCTCAGGTAGGCTGGACCCAGACCATATAGGGCTTTATAGGTAAGAACCAGCACTTTGAAGCGAATCCGGTACGCTATTGGCAACCAGTGCAGCGCTTTCAGCACAGGCTGAATATGGTCCCTTCTAGAGAGACCCATTAACAGCCTGGCCGCAGCATTCTGCACCAGTTGCAGCCTCCGGATTTGCGACAAAGGCAGCCCCATGTAGAGAGCGTTGCAGTGGTCTAGCCTCGAGGTGACCGTCGCATGGATCACTGTGGCCAGATCATCACGGTCCAGGTAGGGGGCCAACTGGCGAGCCCACCGGAGATGGAAAAAAGCGGACTTGACAGTGGCAGCCACCTGGGCCTCCATCGTTAAGGCGGAGTCCAGGTGAACTCCCAAACTCCGAACCCCAGACGCAGGCACCAAAGGCACCCCATCGAAGGTCGGAACCCCACTCCTGTCCTGGTCCGACTCAAGCCCAGGACCTCCGTCTTTGCCGGGTTTAGTTTCAATCGACTCAGTCGGAGCCAACCAGCCACAGCTTCAAGTGCCCGACACAAGTCATCGGGACCCGAGTCCGACCGGCCACCCAGCATCAGATAGAGCTGGGTGTCATCCGCATATTGGTGACACCCAAGCCCATAACTCCGGATAATCTGGGCAAGGGGGCGCATATAGATGTTAAATAGCATCGGGGACAGCACAGCTCCCTGTGGCACCCCACACTCGATGGGGTGCCTATGGGAGCGCCGGTCCCCGAGAGCCACCCTTTGTCCCCGACCTTGGAGGAAAGAGGCAAACCATTGAAGGGCAAGCCCCTGGATCCCCACGTCGGCAAGGCGATGGGTCAGCAACTGGTGGTCGACAGTGTCAAACGCTGCCGACAGATCTAACAACACCAGTGCTGCCACACCACCCCGATCCAGATGTCTCCGGAGATCGTCAGTCAGGGCGACCAGAGCCGTCTCAGTCCCGTGACCTGGGCGGAAGCCGGACTGGAAGGGATCCAAGACTGAAGCATCCTCCAGAAAGCCCTGTAACTGTAACACCACCGCCCTCTCTATCAATTTGCCCAAATAGGGCAAATTAGACACCGGCCGATAGTTGGCCAATTCGGCCGGGTCAAGGGATGGTCTTTTTAAGAGAGGGCGGACCATCGCGTCCTTGAGCGCCATCGGGAAACGCCCTTCCGAGAGAGACGTGTTAACAATATCTCGAACAGCGCCTCGCAGCCCCCCAGGACTCGCTTTAATGAGCCAAGAGGGGCACGGATCAAGGTCGCATGTGGTTGGGCGCACAGAGACGAGCAATCTGTCCACTTCGTCCAGACTGAGTAGATTGAAACATTCTAAACCCGGCCCCAAAGACGTGCAAGGGGCCTCAAGTTCACTCACTGTCTCAATTGTGGCGGGGAGGTCGTGGCGGAGCCCCCGGACTTTATCTGCGAAAAAGCTCGCAAAAGCCTCCCAGTGTGTACACTGTGTTCAGACTGTATTGCATTGTAAGGTAAACAATTGATAATATCCATGACTTACTGTTGTGAACTTCTTGGTTGCTTTTTATTATGACTATAACAGCTATTGTTTTATAAATTTTAAGTGAGGTTTGTTTTTCAGGTCTTGAAAAAAATATTTTTGGTGATTCTCTGTTTTGAGATACTCTTGGTTGGCATAGATAGAGCTTAAAAGGTGTCAGAGGCTATATTTTTAGCCATGGGGGGTCAGCAGACATTAATGAAACTTATAATCTATGATACAATTACTTACACTGTTATATGGATAATTAAAGAAATTGTAGATTCAATGCAGAATAAAAGGGAGATATTGCCATTAGAAACTACAATCAAGATGAAGTAATTCCAAGAACAAATTGGAGATATGGAGCAAGATTACAACCAAATGGTCTTGACTCACAGAATGAATTATGCACCTAAAAAAGAGAGATAAAGTACCCATAAAAGTATATAGGAGAAGTACCAAAAAAGCGATAAATGATAAAATGTCCAATGCTGTGAAAGCTGTAAAAGATGTAACATTTCAGAAGGAAGAAGCAAAAGAATTCATAGAAGCTTCAACTACTTCAAGTATGGAATACAGATGGTTACCTTCAAAAGAAAGCTTTTTTACATACAAGGGAAGAAGACACAGAACTAAGACTTTACTGAAGAGAAAAAACCAGAAAAGGAAGAAGAGGATGAAATTATATAAATGACATTGGTTAGGGAAATTTTTGATTCCCCAATTGCCCAATAGATCACAACTGCTAAAAAAATGTTGAGTCTGTGTAACTGAGTAGAATCTTCAATCAATTCTTTATTCGGCCAAAAACCAGTACAAGTCAAGAATAAAAGCTTTACAATAATGTCATTAGAAAGTAAAATTGGTCCGATCTATTGGCAACAATTAGTTAAAATCTGTACATAAAATATCTCTACGAATTCTACAGGCTACTGAAAAAAAATTGGCACAACTAATGGTAACCTGTTGATTAGTACCCATTAAAATTTCTTTAAAATATAAACATCGGAACATCTAGGAAAACTGTTGAGACAAAAAAGCTTAAATCAGAAGAAATTATGAAAGATGTATTTAAACATTTAAATATTCCTGACTGAAGATTATACCAAAAAACTCAGATAATAGTTAAATACTCGACATTATGAAATGTATACTCATAGATATGCAAAGAGTATAGCTTGTTATAAGGTTAAAATAGGATAGATAACTAGATATGTATGAGGTACCTAAATAGATAAATAATGATGTTAACATCCCATTATGTAATTTTGTGTAAGTTTGTGTCTGTTTTGTTTGTTTGGGTTTTTTTTGTGTGTTCTTATAAAATAAAAATTATATGGAAAATCGAAAAGCTGCTGAGAGGCCCAGCAGAATTAACACAGTCAAACTCCCTCTCTCTCCCAGTGCCAGTCATCCACCAGGGTGACCAAGACTGTTTCAGTCTCACATCCAGGCCTGAAACCAGATTGGAAAGAATCCAAACAACCTGCTTCATCCAGGAAAGCTTGAAGTTGTGTAGCCACCACTCATTCAATCAACTTGCTTAAGAATGGAACATTTGAGACTGGTTGATTGTTACTGAGTTCTCCTGGGGTTCTTTAGAAGTCAATGCATCATAGCCTGTTTCAAGGCTGAGGTGACCACACCTTTTGTCGAGGGGGCATTAACTACTAGGGGTGTGTACAAAAAAAGTGGTATTTGGGTTCAGGTATATTGCACCCCAAAAATATCGGTTTTCCTAATATTCCTGAGTTTCAAGCACACTAAGTGAAAGGGAGGGATTAAATGCTCCAAAGCGGCCAATGCACTCACCCAGAAGTGTTTAGCTCACTCTGCTTCAATATAGTTATGGCTGCCTGAATAAACACTGACTTTTTCTGTTATTTATTCGGGCCAGCCATGTCAGTAGCTGAATCAGATTAGAGAATTTGATTCAGCTGAATAAATATCAAAAAAATGCCGATAAGGTATTTTTCGGGTATTTATTTGGCTTGGTATATACCAAGCAGACACCCCTATTAACGACTTCTCAGACCCAGTCAGCGAAACCCCCCCCCCCAGATTTAAATAACCAGGAAGGGCGAGGGTGACACAAACAGGCAGTACACTTGAGACTTCCAAGGATCTTGTTCACATCCTCAAATTGAATAAACTTAAAAGTATTCCAAACAGCTAGACAGGTTGGCACCTTGGGGCACCATCTGACCCCCTCACTGCTAACATAGATTCCAAGTCGGAATGTATGTGAGATTTTATCAGCAAAGTATTGAGCAAAACAGTTATATTTATACCTTGAATCTTCTCTGGACCATAGGAAAACACAAACTCCACTTTCCCATACTCAGGAAAACGCTCATCTGCAATGAACAAGAAAACAACATATTCAGTATAACTGCATGTCCATGCTTATTATGACATATAATATGGAGCCATACCTGGTTTATACAGGAAACCACATTGCATGGGAAGGAAAGATCCTTTCGGGACACTGACATAAAGTTATCAACTTCTCTATTCAGTTGTCTTGGAGGAGGGTTTCTGGGGCTAACTGCCATGGCTGTTACTGCCAGAAGAACTGGCACGTTTCGCTGGTTGTCTTAAGAGTGATTTACTCCAGAATGATGCAAGCGAAAGTACAGGTACGTGGTACATCCTAAAGTCTGGTTCACACGTGCAGGAGAAGGTGGTGATAATAAGGTGGCAGAGCCCTAGGGTGGTAGAACACACCAGACTGCAAGGGGTATCGCAACTTTGCTTGTTCCTTTGCATAAAATACTCTCTTAAAATTAAAAACTAGCACATGAAAGGGGAATATTCTACCTCCACCTTTGCTTGCTGTGTCAGGTTTCTGTTTACAAGGAATTTTTAACATAGGTGAAACATTTCAAAATGTGATCATCCACCTGCAGTATTCTACCACCTCATTCTCCTGAATGTGTGGATCAGGCATTAGTAATGAAAATTATTCCCTGTGCTGATCTGAGAAAGTGGACAGTCATACATATATACAGCTATGCCATGAAATAACAACTACTGGACAGATTGCAAATGTCGTTAAGATGCAGGTCTGCAAGAAGTTAAACAGGAAAACTGTGTTCCACGTTCAAAGTTCAACACCTCCACATGTTAAAAAAAAAATCTAACTTTTTTCTTGCCTTTTGGCCAAGACATTCTGCCTTTTTAAGGCTGACAGAAAGCTGGAGGGACACGGCATTGTTCTCTCCATGAGGTTTTAGTACTTCATCTGCCCCCCCCAATACTCTTCACACTAAATGACATATGAAGGCAGAGGAAAAGAATCTACATGGGAAGGCATGAGTTCCTGGAGCTATTTCAGAGCAGCAAGGTAATTATAGCCACAGAAAATTTAATTGCTTTGTGACATCATCCAGCACTGGATGAAGCTTCGGGTTGCTTGGGAGCAAGTGTCATGTTCCCCCCTTTCCTCCCCAACAACACTCCCCGTGCCCTCCAAAGCAGAGATGTCCCTCTAAGCCCACTGATATCACAATCTCCTTACAAGGGTGTAACTCTGCTTAGCATGGCGCTGTATATCTGTTTCTTTACATTCTGTAGTGTCACAGTGAAGCGTACCACACAACAGCCATGGCACCATGAAAACACTCTCCTAAAAGTGATATACAGTTGCACCATCTTACCGACCCCTGCAAACCAAGTTTATTACCCTTCACTTGGGTTCTGACCATTCTGACCTTTAAAAGCATCGTCCAAGTCCTCCTTGTTGAAGACAATGGCGAGGTCGTGAATAGCACAAGTGTGAAACTGAACGCGAAAGATCACATCCCGGGTTGGGCTACGGAACTTTTTGTGGTAACATTTCAGCTGTCAGGGGTGAGAACAGGGGGAAAAAAGAGCCATCAGCTTGGAGATAAGCCAGTAAGAAAATGAACTATTCCCTCCCCCCCAAAAAAAAGTTGTTACAAGCATCTGAAGCAAGCAGATGACAGGCTGCAGCTTGTAATTGTGGCAAAATCACCAGTGGAAGCTGCATCCACATGGATAGAAAACAGAAACATGAGACTCTTTACCAAGATATCTCCTTTCAGGAGCAGTCCGGGCTCTATGGTGATGCAGATGCTGGTCTGACTGTCTCCTTGCACGTTGCTGCACAGAAGAAGAAGGAAACTAAGCAAGTAAGGAGGCAACCACTTAGCTGGGATGTTACTTCCTTAGGATAAGCCTAGATAGCAGCTTCCCTCTGTGACGGCAGGATTAAAGTTGGTGGAAACTTCACCTCGCAAAAGATGCACCACCTAGCATAGGAGTCAGGTGCTACCTCTGTTGGCATTGTGCTACGGTAGCTTTGCTACTCATACCAATCCATTTGGACTAGCAGAAATCACCACAAGGTGACCAGGCAGTGCCCAGGAAAGCATGCCAAGACAACCAGGAGCAAACAATGCAGTGTGAAAACAAGCCACTAAAATGACTGGCTGGGATGTTTGCATGAACTTATCTTCACACACTTTGCCCTTAAATGTACGACAAGTAGCTTGTGCAGACCACACTTCCTCTGTAGGGCCACTCAGCACATGTGGCAAAACATAGGGCCAGACTGGATATGATGCTAGACTTCATTCTCAGAATTCCAGGCAGATAAAACTGTAAGAAGCATCCTCAGGAATGGGATGGCAATCAGGATCAGGACCCCCTGCACCTTTTCCCTGGTCAGAAACCCCCCAACCACAACTACTTTAAGCCCCAGGAGGAGAAACAAATAGTCATCTATGAAAGAGACATAAATGCTTCTCCCTTTATTGGAGGACCTTGCGCGTTATCTCTGATGTTCCTCTGACCATTTACTATGGCTGTGAGCTTCAAGGGGTCTTCGGGATGAGGCTGCTTATAAGAACATAAGAACATAAGAGAAGCCAATGGTGGATCAGGCCAATGGCCCATCTAGTCCAACACTCTGTCACACAGTGGCCAAAAAGACCAGGTGCCATCAGGAGGTCCATCAGTGGGGCCAGAACACCAGAAGCCCTCCCACTGTTGCTGCCCCCCCCTCCAAGCACCAACGATACAGTGCATCACTTGCCGCAGACTGAGAGTTCCTATCTATAACTTGTGGCAAATAGCCACTGATAGACCTCTGCTCCATATGTTTATCCAGTTCCCTCTTGAAGCTGTCCATGCTTGTAGCCGCCGCCACCTCCTGTGGCAGTGAATTACATGTATTAATCACTCTTTGGGTGAAGAAGTACTTCCTTTTATCTGTTCTAACCCGACCACTCAGCAATTTCATGGCGTGCCCACGCGTTCTTGTATTGTGAGAAAGGGAGAAAAGTACCTCTTTCTCTACCTGCTCTATCCCATGCATAATCTTATAAACCTCAATTATGTCACCCCTCAGTCATCATTTCTCCAAGCTAAAGAGCCCCAAGCGCTTTAACCTTTCTTCATAGGGAAAGTGTTCCAACCCTTTTTATCATTCTAGTTGCCCTTTTCTGCTCCCCTCTTTTTAGGTTTTCATGAACCTCCCAAGGTAAGGAGCGTGGCTGTGTCATCCTAAAGATGTTCCAAGAGCAGAGCCCATACTGGTAAGCAGCAAGAGCACTCCGGGGTCCCACGTCTACCCATGACCCAGAGAGGTGTTTGCTCAAGTTTGTCCTGATGACTTCAGGGACAGATGGGAATCTGAGTTCAGGAAATCAGAAGACTGTTGTTGAGGCAATATTTACTATATTCCAGATGTGTAGACAGGCTGCATAGCCTGGTATATCTTGAGGAAAGGCCGGCATCCTAAAAAATATAAATCAGAGACAAAGATAAAGGGGCCTTCGTTAGGGAGATTGGTTATAGGGAAGGAGGTGCAAACAGTAAGAGGCCAAAACAAACAGTCGAGTCTGGAGAAGAGGTTTTTGGTGACAATTCTTGCCCTCCAGTCAACAAGGCCAGCACTATGACAGCAATAGATGGGGGGGGGAGGAGTTAGGGAACAGGGCTGTGCAGCATCTTACTTTACCATGAGTCATACGGGGTTCAGATATCCCCTAGAAGGTACCTTTCCCACCTCTCCGTTTCAGAGACATACACAAAATGCCCCCGAGAAACAGAAAACTGTTTTGCTTGGGCAACATTCAATTGATAGGTCCACTGCACGGAGGCATGCAACCAAAGTCAGAATGAGGACTGTGGTTCTCATTATCTTCTCAGTGCTCTCAGAAAACCTCACACAAAAAGCCGTGTGGCCTTTTCATAAATCACTGACTGCAGACAGCCTTGGTGCATTTACCCACTTGAAAAAGATCCATTAACTTAAAGTACTTTAGGGAGGTATTCACCCCACAGCATTAAAGCACCATTACTGAGTGACTGAAAAAAATTGCGGTGACCAAACTGCTGTAATATAGTGATGCATGTAATTGCTGTAGCAGAACTTTAGTTTTTCTCTGTCTTGGAAGGGCTAGAAATAGTGCTCCTTGCAGAATATCTGCTTCCTCTGAAAAATCTCTTCTAGCAGTGGTCACACAGGACACAGTAATACTAACCGTTCTGTCCAGCCAGGTATAACATGGCCATCATGTGGCCTGCTTCACTACAGCTGCTTATGCAACCTCAATCTTACTGGATGTCTGCTGTAACTCCCATGTCATATCATAGCCATAGGTCCCTTGTTCTCCACAGCGTACTTATTTAACCAGTGAACCCCTATGCAGTCACTCCAGTATGAGCTCCTTTAATTCAACGGACTCAGACAGGACTTCACTGCAAACCCCATAACATAGAATCATAGAACCACAGAACAACCCCCAGCTCAATGTAGGATCAGCCTCGAGCATCCCTGACAAGTGTTTGCCCAGCTGCTGCTTAAAGACCGCCAGGAAGCTCACCACCTCCCGGAGGCAGCTGATTCCACTGTTGCACAACTCTGACTGTAAACAAGTTTTTCCTAATATCCAGCCAGTACCTTCCTGCCCTTAATTTAAACCCATTATTGTGAGTCCTATCCTATCAACATGTTGTTGCTCGTGATATTTTACAAGGAAGATCACTTTTTAAAAGAAAAAAGTGGGACAAGTTAGGCCACTTCTATAGTTGCTTTTTCTTCTTGTCTCAGAGATTACTTGAACAATATAATTGTTTAGAATGCGGATCTTCAATAAATGAAAGTTCATTTAAATATATAATGCAATAATAATAAGCAGGACACCTGCTTTACTGAGTATGAACAGTTTACGTAGCCCAGCATCCTTCTCCTGGTAGCGATTGGGTCCACACATCAGTATATCTATTTATATAACAGCATTTTTTGCATTGTTTAATACTTACACCTTGCTTCAGATTTCTGCAATCCTAGTCTTTAACATTGTTTATTAGATGTCTTGTCCTACTGATCGCACTGACTTACATTAGGTAATCTGCCAAGCCTCAGTAAGGCAGACTACAAATAACATAAATTTTAAAAATAAAAATAAATATCCATATCCATATTTATAACCAAGCACTGGCTACCTCAGCACTGAGGGCTGGTTTACATATACCAGAGAATGAAATGGCACAATTCTGAGATAGCAGAATGGAATGTACCACCCTGGACACCAAGTGGTGGATCCTAGCTTTTAATTCTCCACATAAAGACTCTGTGCAACTGGACAACTGAAACAGCAAACAGAAAACTTTGACTCCCCCTCTTTTTCTCGCTCTTTTTAGAACACAGAGAAGCATTCCAAGGCACTGTCACTGCATTGGAAGTGTTGTGTTCCATTCTACCATCTTACACCCAAAATCATACCTCACGTCCCAGCAGAGAAGCCGGAAAATAATGGTGATTGTGAAAACAATACTGTGCAGCAATTGTGCTGCTCCTTACAGTTCAATCTGCATTTGCAGAAATAGCTGTGGTGTCCCACAAAGCAATCTGAGCAGAAGTTTCAATCCGTGAACTGACTTCAGCTTAATTTCTGTTTAAGGTGACAGCCATATGAGCAGCCCTAGATAGATAGAACTGACTTCAGCCTTGAAGTTGGAACACACCTTGATTTGCCCAAAGTACTAAAAGTACTACTAGTTGCCCCTCAGCAAGGGAGTAATGAAAAACCACAGAGCTCTCAAACATGTGTCTCTTTGACAAGTTCCAGTGGCAACTACAGCTCTGACTGAAACATGGCCCTATAGTGAAGTTCTCCCATTCCTGAACAACAAACTGACAGGGTGCCGTTCAGTTTATGGGAAGTTATCTTTGTTCTGCAGTAGGTCAAGACACTTGGCAGTTACCTCCTTTAGACTCAAAGTTGGGAATTCCATGCATGATGACGTGGTGCAGGAAAAGTGGCTTGTTGTTCATTTTGATAGTGCCAGATAGCAGACCGCTGAAGTAATGGACGTATCTGGTAGAGAAACCAAATCAGGCAGAAGACTGATGTTTAGTAAAAAGAAGAAAGGCAAGCCTTTCAAACAGCCTTATCTACTTTTTCCCATCCACCAACATGAGGCATATAATTTAGATAATTTTCTCCTTATAATTTCAGCTAAGACATCTGATACAGACTTGTTTTCCAAAAATACCATAATCCCCTTCCCTTAAGATATTCCAGAAGTTGGCACAGAGGAGAATTGCTATTGCATGGAAACAGTACACGTGTTCCCTGGCATTAGGTGGAAATTAGCAGGACTTTTTGTGATGCCAGCAGACATTATGTTCTTATGTTCATTATATTAACTATCCCCCTCACCACAAACCTATTTGCATGGCAAACTACCAACCCACCTTGCTGTAAAGAAAGGCAAAGTCTACCATGCGTAACAAGCTTGGGAGAAAGGCCCAAGAATTAATATGAGATAGCAACCAATAGTACAGCTGTTTCTTATACCTTCACACCATCTGGGGATAATTTCACTCACTTATTATAGCTGATAGTTTATTTTTGTTATATAATGATGCATATTAACTATCCATTTATGGATCATAGACCCTCCCCCCAAGAGTCATGTTATCTGTACAAACAGTCTTATTCTGATTATTCCATGCTATCACTGAAAAGGAACACAAAAATATAAAATGATCACTGAGTATTCTTTGAAATGTGTATGCTGAGAGGTTGTGGTGCCATGTGGAGAACCCAAATCACAAAGAACTCAGGGTCTGCATCCCACATGTACAAAACATATAATATGTTATAGATTATTATTAACACTTGGAAAATCAGGCATACAATGTTCTGTCAAATCTGGGCAAGAAAATGCCACTACATACATGGAAAGGAAAGAAGTTACCAAAAACTTCCATCCAGCCTTCTTTTCAGAGGTAGCTCCAGCACTGGTCTCTCATACGTCAAGCAACATTTCAAAACGACATGTGTTTATTTTATTTTTGCTTGTACAAAAATGTTATATGGATTAAAGTATTTGAACCACTGGGAAGATATAAAACTGTAAATAATAAAAAACCCGCATACCACTTAGCTAAAGTCATATCAATAGCAATAACGTTAAAATCCCTAAACTTCCATCAATGAAACCATTGAACACCTGGGAGATTAAAAGGTGTTTATCTGCCTTCTGAATAAGACTAGGGAAGAGGGTAGGCAAGCATTCGAAGGGAATTCTGCTGTGTTGGAGCTACTGCTGAGAATGCCATGCCTTCCACCCTGATGGAATTGTCAACAGGGCCTCACTAGCTGATTAACAGCCAGGAAGGTCTACGTAAGAAAAGATGATCCCTGCAGGAATTCTGGGCCCAGACCATTTAGGAGTTTAAAATGGAAGATTTGTCTTCACTTACCGTGAAGCTTCCTTCTCAGTGGTCTGGCAGTGGGGCAGTCCTCACTCTTGGGAATAGGGCTCCTCCTCCAGAACAGGGTCAGTTTCCTCAGACTGATCCAGGAAGGGGAGGGGCCTGTCCCTTGAGACCACCCCAGGCATCTCCAAGCTGTGCCTCCCCCAACGTCACATGAAGGAAAACAAAAACACTTCTCCCCACCATAGTGAAACTCGATTTTTGGGGCAACCAGCCTTGTAACTTCATGACCCTCCAGCAGTTGTAGACCAAAGGTCAAACCCGTTGACCCAATTAACTCACTTTTGTTTTGTTTTAGCATCTCAGAGAAACTTCATAAACGTTCATCCACTGAGACCCAGTTTGGTGTAGTGGTTAAGTACACACACTCTAATCCAGGAGAACCGGGTTTCATTCCCCACTCCTCCACTTGCACCTGCTGGATGACCTTGGGCAAGCCGTAGTTATGGCACAGCTGTTCTTGAAAAAGAGCAGTTTCTGTCAAGAGCTCTTTCAGCCCCACCTACCTCACAGGGTGTCTGTTGTGGGGAGGGGAAGGGGAAGGAGTTTGTAAGCCGCTCTGAGACTCCTTTGGGTAGTGAAGGGTGGGGTATAAATCCAATCTCTTCTTCTTATTCTTCTACATCCCAAAAAAACTCTGGAAGCTGCCCCCAAAAAACTGGGTGGGTAGGACTGCCCCACTCCTGGACCACCAAGAAGGAAGCTTCACGGTAAGTGAAGACAAATCTTCCACTCTCCGGTGGTCCTGGGAATGGGGCAGTCCTCACTCTTGGGACATTAAAAAAACAGTGTGCCCCAGGGTGGGAATCTAGCTTCCCAGTTTATAGGGTGTGCTGCAGTACTCTGCCAGGGAAAGCCGCCTCAGCCTAGGTCAGCTTCTCTGACAAGTGCACAGATTTCCAGGTGTCCACCGTACGTACAGTCTCCAAGGATGGGAATGATCTGTAAGCTGCTGACGTAGCAGTCCCACACAGAGAATATGCTGTAACATCTTTGGTGGATACAGCCCCTGAGCCTTGCATACAACAATGGTGCAACCCCTAAAACCACCTACTTAAGGTAAAAGTTGACGTAAGGAAAATAACCTAAAGGAAACAAATAGGGTATCTGAATCATGCCAGTGTTTGGCCTGTCAACATAAAAACTGAATACCATACGGACATCAAGGCAATGCCATTCCCTTTCCTTGTCATGCCTATGATTGGGACAAAAAGAAGGTAAGACAATGATCTCCAATCTGTGAAAGACCTGGAGTAACCTCGGGAATGAAGGCTGGATTCTGGGCGTAATGTCACCCTATCATTGTGAAAACACACAAAGTTCCCTGTCAACTGACAGGGCCCTCAGTTCTGTCACCCACCTAGTTGATGTGATGTCCAATAAACACAAGGTCTCGAATGTTAATTCCTTGAGAGGACATGACCCCATGGATTCAAAAGTTCTCTACACAATGCTCTCAGGACTCTATGTGGGTTCCAAGTCAGAAACCTCTGCACCTGTGGCAGTTTTAACCATGTAGTACTCTTTAGGAATCTCTTAACATGTGGATGGCAATTTTAGGGACTTCCCTTCCTAACCCCCATCACTGCCGATATGTCTGCCACTTGTCACAGTCTGTCACACTGAGCCCTCTATCCAAACCATCTCTCCTTATATATAATTGAGTAGTGGGTGCCAAAGTTCTAAAATGCACTCCTTTAGTGTATGGACGCTTGAACTGTCAGTCAGAAGACGCTGGCTGGGTTGACTGGCTGCTTTGTGCAGTCCCGCCCAGTGTTTCAAGGTCTTTTGCATATGGAAGCTGATTGGACTTCACTGCATTCCACACCTCAAACTCACCCCCCTCCCCGCAAGGCAGTTGGAATGTCAGTTGCATATGGAACCTTCAAGGTCTTTTGCATATGGAAGCTGATTGGACTTCACTGCATTCCACACCTCAAACTCACCCCCCTCCCCGCAAGGCAGTTGGAATGTCAGTTGCATATGGAACCTTCAAGGTCTTTTGCATATGGAAGCTGATTGGACTTCACTGCATTCCACACCTCAAACTCACCCCCCTCCCCGCAAGGCAGTTGGAATGTCAGTTGCATATGGAACCTTCAAGGTCTTTTGCATATGGAAGCTGATTGGACTTCACTGCATTCCACACCTCAAACTCACCCCCCTCCCCGCAAGGCAGTTGGAATGTCAGTTGCATATGGAACCTTCAAGGTCTTTTGCATATGGAAGCTGATTGGACTTCACTGCATTCCACACCTCAAACTCACCCCCATGCTGCCCTCTACAGACTCCACCCCCCAAACCTCCAGGTATTTCCCTCCTTAGAGCTGGCAACCCTACATTCCCCTCAGTGCCTGTTGGTAGGCATCTAAGCTTGGTCCTGTCACCTACTTTGGCCTTTGGGAGAAAACACATTGGGGCCAGTCCTGATAGGGTTGCCAACTCCAGATGGGAAATTCCTGGAGATTTGAGGGATGGAGCCTGAAGAGGGTGAGGTTTGAGGAGGGGTGGGACCTCAGACAGGTACACTGCCATAGACTCCACCCTCCAAACCAGTCAGTCCCACATAGGGAACCATTGTTGCCAATCTCCAGGTGAGGGCTGGAGAGCACTCAGAATTACAACTGCTCTGCAGAAGGGAGGGCAGAAGTCAGCTGAAGTCAAAGGGGCAGATAATGGTAGGTTGATGGTTAGCTGGGAAGGAGATGGGGTTGCCAACTCCACCCTCCAAACCAGCCATTTTGTCCTGGGTAACAATTGCTGCCAATCTCCAGGTGAGGGCTACAGATCACTCACAATTACAACTGCTCTTCAGGTAGCAGAGATCAGTTCCTCTGGAGAAAACAGTGGACTCTGTCATTATACCCTGCTGAGGTCACCACAGCAAATTGACACTGTTTGCCCAAAGCCAGAGCACTCCCCCAGAGCCTCTTTCTAGATCCCATTGTATTGCTTTCACAATGGACTTTACTGCTAGTCTTAGATAAAGCTAAGATGCCTCTGACACTTTTAACAGTTCCCAATCATGTTCTGAACACCAAGAGGGAAGAACCGACCAGGTTGTGTTATACACCCTATTCGTGGAACCCTTTGTAGAAAACTAACATGGTGTCTCTCACACTGTCAGGGTAACCCAACCCTTCTAGCTGTTTCCGATCAAGCTACAGGCTATTAGGTTTAGGAGGGCTGGGCAAGGATGTTGTGCCGATCCTAGTGTCAATAAGTCCTTTCCCAGTGGTAGGCACCATGGTTTCATGGTCAACAATCTCTTCAGATCCTGGAACCAAGTTCTTTGTGGCCAAAAGGGTGCTATCAGCACAAGTTCCACCTGAGCCCGCTCGTGGGGATGGCGGGGTAAAAATGCTTAAAATAAATAAATAAATAAAATTCTGTTTCAACAGCTTCTGAATCACCTTGTGAATCAATGAAGTCAGTTGGAACATGTACAGCAATCCCTGTGGCCAGTTGCAGTTGAGAACGTCTGTTCCTGTTGCCCACTGATTTTGAACTCTGGGTATGAATCATGGAACTAGATGATTCTGATCCATGGTAAAGAGGTCCATTCCCATAATTCCTTACCTATTGCAGACC